ACCAATTCTGAATTAAATAACCCCATAATTAGGAACGTATTCTTTTTATTATATATAAAAAAAAAAAAAAAAAATGGGTTGAAAAGCTATCAAATCACTTAATGAAGTTTACATTGTCTTTGTTATTCTAACAACTTTTACCACCAAATATCTATTAATAAACAATAAAAATAAATAATATTAAAAATTTGTGTGTTTTATGTAATTTATTTTAAATTTCAAAAAAATAATAAACTTTAATTCTTACACACGAATAAAAATTAAAATGGGTGATTCATTGGTTTCTACCGTCTTACCTATCCTATTTAAGATAAGTGTCAGACTACTAAAGTAAGTGTTTTATTTTATAAAAGTATTTTACAAGAGTGAATGTAGGATTAATTCAGATATTGAAAAGATAATAATTAATTACACCGCATTACTTTCTGTACAAAAATGATATAATATGTAGGTATATAAAAGTGTATTTACCTATTCCAACAATAACATTTTTTAAACATAAAATACCGTCTATTTTTCGACACTGATAAATCCGTTTTGTTTTACAGTTAAGTTCTCTCATAAAATCGAGTATTCTAAAGTACTTTTTTTGTTTACACACGTAAAATGGTAAGAACATTAATTTGAATACTCTCATTATTTGAAGAATACAAATAACTCGATGTTATTCAAGAGTAGCTTACACTAACAAGAGATGTCAAGGTAATTATTTTCAGTGAAACCTACATCAATTATGAATAGTGTGAATACTTGATAATTTTTAATTATGCAAGACCAAAATGTTTACTAATTTTAATTAAATTTTATCTACATGTATTATGATAATGTTAAAAATCTGATAATGTAAACATTAGCCAATTAAGAATACCCACGTATCATTAAACCAATATGATTGTAATATCATCCAGCTAAATATGTGGAAAAAATCAATATATCGTGAATATTATATTATAGTTATGAATTTCATACAGCTATGTTACTTTATTGTCTGCGATGTAATATTAATATGTCACTAACATTTAATAATAATTATAATATATGATGATTATTAAATAATCGAATAGTTAAATTAGTACAAATTTACGAATATTAAATAATAATGAATTTTAACTATATCCATGAGTTTCTCCAAGCAAATGTCAGAAACAGAATCAGAGTTACTGTATAAAAAAGGTCTCTAATTGATATTGAGATAAATCAACTTGATTCGATAATTATAATAATTAAAATTTGCTGTCGTGTCATTTAGGGAAAAAAAAATAATTCTATAATATTCTTGATTAAATATGATACTGTATCACAATTGTAAATCAGAAAGTAGCCACAAACTAGTTTGGTGTTTATTCATTATTTTAATATATTTTAATGAGGTATCACGTGTTTCCAAATTTTTGTTCTATATTAAGCCAGAATTGAAAGTTATAAAAAGTGTTCTAATAAAGGAAATATATTACTTTACGCTATTTATAGATAGGTATTTAAAATATTCTATTTTTTTTTAGATTTATGAATGATCAAACTTCATTTGTTAAGTAAAAAATTTTGAAAACAATAGGTGGCTTCTTATAAGTTAATAAGTTGTTCATATCCCAATTCAAAAAATTCAAAAATCCATAAGGAGGATACCTAGTCACAATTCTTTTTTTACAAGTTTTTAATTTCTAGAAATGTTTGTTGTTAAATTAAATTAATACGTATATATGTATATTATTACAACATTTTAAATTAAAAATGCAATGCAAGATTTTTACTGATTTTTCTTCACATAATTAAAAAAAAAAAATCAATCGTGAATTAATTGTTTATAAGTGTTTGTAGTATAAAATTGGATCATACCGGATATTCTAACGTCTACTCAATGTCGTTAATAATAAGGTATACTTGACATCTAATTTACAGTAGATTTAAGTAGATGATGAACCTATTTACCTGCTTTGAACTTTTCAATTATTAAAGTAAAATCAATTAACTTCAAATATTAAAAATCAAAAAAAATCACAATCATCAAAACAATAAAATCGAAATTGTTGGATTTCTACTCAGAAGTATAGTTTATATATTAAAATACAACGAATTTATTGTTTTTTTTTTTTTTATTATTATTTAAAACAGTGTAACTGGCTCTAAAAGTTGTATTAATCTTAGTTTAGAGTCTTTCTTGTTTGTGATTTATTCATTGTATCTTTCAATTTTATATTGAAACACCACAGGCTTATTATATCATATATATTCTTGAAGATCATTAAATGTCTATTCTTCCTGCCTTTAATTTATTTTTAATAATATTTTTAAATTTAAAAAAATTCTAAAATTTTTTTTAATTGAATACCTATAAAAAATATTCAATTATAACTTTATATTATTTATTTTTTATATGATATTATTATTATATTTATTTTATTTTATTCATATTATATCTAATATATTTATGATAATGACGCATGCATATTGATAGGTATACATTTTTTTTTTTTTTTTTTATTAGATATTGTAATATGGATTTTATTTCAACTAGGTATGGTTGTATTATAATATCAGATAATGAATTAAAACGCTAATGAATAAAAACAAAAATTACTTTCACAATATTATATAAAATACAATTACCGCCATAATAATCTTTATTAAAACTCTACAAATATTTGTTTTTATAGTTTAGAAGAACGAAATTGCAATATAAAATGTCTATCAATATTTATTCTGGTTACAAGCGTTTTTACTTTTTCCGTTGTAAAAATTATATAAATAGTATATTATGTGGTATTATAATAATATATGATGTTTTGAAATGTTTTATTAAACCTAGAACAATATTTATGAACGAGTTATGTTTCATATTATCGTAGTATGTATGTTGTTTATTTTATCATAAACTTATATTTTTACAGTATTATTTAATGGCAACAGAATATTTCTATAATATAAATACGTTTAGGTAGATATCACAATTTAAGATAAATTTCGCTATTTATCATTTATTACGGTTCACATTAAATAAGATACAATTTTAATGTTATATTATAATTTAATGAAATGTTATGGGCGTTATAATACATATCTATATAATTATTTTTTTTTTCATAAGTACATTAAATATGCGGAATTAAATGCTTTCTGTTTATGACTTAGATGTTCTAATTATATTATACATACGGTATAAATTATATCGTATAACTAACAAATTTGTTTTTTCCGGTATGTGAACTATATACTATGTAGAATATAATATCTCGTTGCTATATCACGAGTTACACTAACTTTCAAATCATATCGAAACATTCGTGTAAAGTAAACTAAATTATGTTAAATGTTTGGCATGTACAACTAAGACTCTGGTATTTATTTCTCTTAATTAAATAATTTAGTACACAGATAAAGCTGATAAAGTTCTTTGGTTTGATGTATTTTATCGTTTCCGTTAACATTTATTGATTATAGGATGAAATAATTTATCAGTGGACATAAATCAAGAAATGATCCTTAATATAACAATAAACAATTTATATTAACTATTATGTATTACATATTATAATAATTGTCAAACGATTTAATTTAAACTTATAATTGTTAATTAAATAATAATACAATTATGCGAAATATGTGACCTATACACACACACACACATATATATATACATGGTTATCCCTATAGAAATGAGCGATTAATTATTATTAATAATATGACATGTTTTAGATCCCAAATAAACTGTCATATACACTTCTAGGCTTAACATATTTTTTATTGTATTAGTTTAGTTTTGTGTTTAACATATTATCATAAATATCTACTTGTTTTAGAAAAAATGTAACAATATAAGATAAATATATTGTAGGTAAATTTAAACATAATATATGATTATTGATTAATAATAATAACAATTATTATTATTATATTAATAATACATTTGTTATTGTGGATACTATTTTGAAAAGTTAAAAACTAAAAATCACCAAATTTCTCCTAATAAGTACAATATTTATTAATTTTGAATTTATTTTTACTGTTTTATGGTATTTATAGAAAAAATGTTATTATATTTATAGTTATATAAATTTATACAATACAGAATAACTATATTATATATTATTATGATAATTAAATGTTATAATTATATAATAAATGCAATATTTTTGAAAAAAATTATGTTAACTTAATATAATACTAAAAGTAAAATAAATGAATTTAATAGCTATATCAGCCTATATAAAAAAAAAAAAAAACATATTAAGTGAAGTAGAACGATAAAATTCTTCCGCTCAGAATAGTTTTTCGTATACAATGATATATCTCTGAATTCAAATTTAATACATTTATAATAGTGACCTACTCGACATTTAATGTAAAGCAGATCAGTGCAACACGATTGCGTACTTTTTACCTTTAGGTTCTTGCCTCTGTTAAATGTTCAGTTACCCATAAAATCAGTGAAAAAGAGGCATAAAATGATAAATAATTTTTCAGTATATAATCAATAAACTCAAAATTATCAGTAGGGCTATTTTTAATTAAATAAGCAAAAACATCTTCTATATTATCTTCTGAGGGTAAAAATCTAAGGGCGAAAAATTGTTTCAACCAAATACCTAGTTCAGATTTTGAACTATAATTCTTTAAACTATAATCATTTGTATCGACTTACATACCTTTTTTTTTCTCTTAATATAATTCTAATAATAGTGTATAATAGTTAATTCGAGGGTTATACTTAATGAATAATAATCCGTGTTGTAGACATAGTGTTCTCAACAAAATATACTAACTGGAATATAATGATTTATTAGTTGTAACTTGTCAGAATAATATTGTATTATATTATACAAACAACAATTTATAATAACATTAACATCGCACTAAAATCATCCATTGAATTTTGAATAATTTAATTTCACTGAATAAAAATAAAATAAAGTCAAATAAAATTAATCAAATAACCCAGTACTTACGCAGACTTGGAGAAAAAAGAAAAAGCATTTAAAATTAATAATTGGACATTTTTGCAGTTGACCGATTTCGTGTATTTCTCAAAAGAAATCTGCAATGATTTATGCAAAGTAGTAAGTACCATTAACTATTAAAAATTGTGAAAAATAATAATATAGAGAATTTGCATAATCAATGATCATTATAGAACCAAAACGCATACAAAAATATAAATAGTTTTAAATATATTCGAATCATGTGTACATCAAATTTATTAGCTTAGTGAGTTATTATAAGTATAATAATATTTGAAACGAAAAAACTTCAAAGCTATTCTTTTTTGCTTTTAAAATAAAATAGACACCGAATATATTTTCAACTTGGAGCGTGGCTTATTCTCTATACATTGCATGCAAAAAAATATTTACTTAATCATAGAGTTATTTTTCAGCAAATATCAACAAAGTGACAACAAACTTTTATCCTCCGTTTATTTTATTTTAGTTTTTTATTGTACAACAATGATATTTATAATGTATTATCATATTGTCTGTATATGAATGCAAATGTTTTCAATTTATTTTCACTATGTTTTCTCAATATAACATCACTTTCAAAGAATAGAAAAGTCATTCAATGTGTCAAAGTTTTTAGATATAATATTAAATTGTTGTTATTAAATATATTAATATGAATTGAATTTAAAATAACTGTTAATAAAAATATACGTCACAGTGGTTGATTACGGTGTCTAAAATTGACTAGTAATTATTATTCGTGCATTGTGTTGCTGTCATAGTTTTTACTGTAGTGTTTAACATAAACTTTTGAAATACGCACTCGTATAAAATGTGAGAATAAAAACCGATTTTTTTTTTTATGGTTTAAATGTTTATTATAAAAAATTATTATACAATTTTAAAATGAGTTTAAAGGCTTATTACATTATATTTAAGAACTTCAACTATAAAAAAAAAAAAACAAATTTAAAATGTTATTTCAAATTAATTTATACAGGATAAAATACGAAGAATTCTTTGGTTTTAATTTATGAAAATCTAACAATATTTAAAGCATGACATTTAATATATAATACTGTACATAAATATAATTTGTAATAACAGTTTTATTTTGAGGTATATATATATATATATATATAGATTATAAGATTAATTTTTAAAGATACGCGTTTATATAAAATGTAAGCTACATTTAAATTAATTTTATAATCATCCATAACGTCCATAACTATTTAAAAAAAAAAAATTGATAATTTACACATCTGAACATATAGTTTTGTATAAACTGAGCAATATTACGAAGTTTGTAGATTTCATGAAAAGTACATGTTTCAAAAATTGAGTGATTAAAGAATGCCTAAATATGTTAATTAAAATAAAAAAAAAAGATTTACGAATAAATAAAAAAAAGTACTTGACTTAAACAAAAAATGTTCTATTTTATCATTTTTTAATTACAACTCCATCAACAATATTATTACGATAACATTAAATCGCTTTTAATACTATATTTCAATATATATATATAAAGTAAATGATTGAAAGTAGAAAAATTTCTTTTATCATTTTTCGTGTTATTATTATATTATAAATAAATATAATTCAATAAATACTTTTTGAACAATAATACTTACTATTAGGAATTAGGAATTACTTTTTATGTTAGTTGAATACTCTTTGAAATCACTACAACACTAAGTTAAACATAGATATTTAATAACATTAGTTTTCGTTACATTATTGTTTATACAATGATGTACCATGGTAAGTAAGTATTATATTAAATGCGTTTTGTTGTTTCGTTTAGCTTTTATTTTAACATATTAAATATTAATATATTATGTTATCTGAAATACGTTGTGTTGGTTCCAAATAATAATAAAACCGAGTTAGGTGCATAAGCATCTTGGTAACACTATTTACATATTTTGCTATCCAATTAATTTTTAACAAAATATTGTGAAAATACGGTTATCATATTTTATGTTCTCTACAAAGTTAAATTTATTTTATTTTATTTTTTAACCAACATCATAATATACATTTGAATGCATTTTTTTATATTATTAGTTACCAATGCAAAAAAATATTTATTTTTGCTGTATGACACAGTTAGTACCTAAAGTAAAAATATATAATAGTATGCAGACAAAAATAAAAAAAATATTTAAGTCTTATATTAATGTTTAGACTTAAGTCTGGCCGTCAGGTTATTATTGTTTATATTTTTGAAAATTTTAAATTTGAATTTGAATTTGGAGTTACATTGTAAGCTTTGATAAATAAATATATATTGTGTGATGTAGAGAAGAATTTTTCTCTATGATTAAATGTATTATTTAATGACTGAATATTTTTAATCAACTCTTTAAAGTTTTTATATTGTAAATGTATTATTTTATAGTAAGGTGCTTTAGCATATATTTTTGTGATAATAACTAATAAATTAACATACAATTTAGATAAAAAATCAATGATTAGAATAAAAAATTACTAATAATATTTTCTAGTTTTCTTGAATATTAGGCAGCTTTTTTAAATTATTTTACTCATTTTTATTCTTTTGGCATTCGCACATTAATATCATCTTGAATAAATTATAGAGAATATAGAATAATTGAAAAATTATTATAAATACAAATGTGATTTTTTTTTTAAGTTTATATTTGTATAATTAAAAAATTTAAAATATAAAAGTTAGACATATTTATATACTTTTTTTTTACAAAACTAAATAGACTTAGAAAAAAAAATTATTATCGAGTGAACTACGCATCAAAGTTCATACGATTTATAATTTTTCGTAAAGAAATATTTTTATCTTTGACTGACGATAACTTTCAAGAAAATACAAATATACACTTGATTTTATTGATTTTTAAAATATATAAATTTGAAATATTTATTGTTTTGTATTAATAAGAATATAATTGGATGAATTGTTCCAGAAATATAAATTCCACGAAAGACATAATTAGAATTTCAAATGTTTTTTTTTATTTAATAAAAATATAGAAAACCTGTGGTTTAAAATTGAATCCAACCATTTTATTGTGCCCACTCGACACGTATATAAAATACAGCAAAGCGGTATTTTCTTGCTCAAAAATATTGAGTTTTATAATTCTATAAATTATTTTGCCTACGAAAATCAATATAGTGATATTCGTTGACAGTATACAAAGAAAACATGTTCAGCAAAAATATATACAATTTTATTCTATAACTAATAAGTATTTTATATTTGTAAATGTTTGTGTTGCATATTTGTGGTAGTTTTCAAGTACTATTTAAATATATATATTTAATTTAAGACCCAATACCGAATAGTTTATCATTTTACCAAAAATAATGCAATTAATAATAGGCTGTAGATTTTTAATCAATAAAATAGAAATGTCTGTATTTAATGTCTAAAATTAATAGTATAAAGTTTTCAATAATTAGAGCTAAATAAAATTTCATAGATATATTATTTTAAATTCTAACTAGTAGGTAAATAAAAGTTATTAAATCAATTGTACAGAGTAAAAAAAGTTATCGATTGTTTCCCTTAGATTCAGATAATTTTTTACAAATTAAAATACCATGTAACCTTAATAATAATTTAAAATAAAATTATTAAATACCTGTAATATTAAATATTGAAGACGGACTAATCGTACTGAAAGTAAACTTATTAAAAATATAAAACCTACTAACATAAATATATAGTTAATTCATTAAATCTTACATAAAAAACTTGTTCAATGTGTATGTTATTACAGATTATTAATAAAAACTTAATTTTGAAATAAAAATAAAACATACGAACTACAACATCTATAAAATGCGTCTCCTAATGTTTATTTTGTTGATGTATTTTTTCGATCAATTCGCTAATAGAAATTCTTTAATTTTATTTAAAATCATATTTCTGAATAAATTTCACACTTCTGAAAAATATGGCAGATATTATGTCATATATTTCTGGAATATTTTAATTGCTTGTTGAGGTATACATACTCGTATATATTTAATAGTGATTTTTCCAGTATCCTTTGAATTTTACTTCCTGAACGTTTTAAACCCTAGGGATATGAAAAACAAAAAAAATATTTTCAGTTACCGGTAAATTTTGTTTGTTGTCAAACGTAACTTTTTCAATTTAATAGTAATAACTTATTTTTTTTTTACGGTTTTTAAGTTGCATATCGAATTATGTATATATTTCGTGTTATGAAAAGCGAGTAAAAAGCGCCCGTGGTATTCTGTGAATCGGCAATTGCTTCGACTTTTTATATATTATTCTGGTTGAAAATAACCGAAAAAATACAAAATTCAAGCACAAAAATTCTGTTACAAAACATAGTAAATTAAATATAATATCTTGGTAAAAATAATAATCATGAAAAAATAATTCTTAAAATTACTATACCTACTAGCACCTATAGTTTATGTAAATATTTACACGATACTATCATAGTTTTCTTGTATCTGATTTTTAGTGTTATCTATGATTTGGTAAATTTATACATCTATTTATTTAAGTGTATATAGATAAGCAATTTAAACATGCATGTTATGTTACAGTTTGTACATGCCTTAAGTCTGACTAGTAAAGTTTTCCGGTGCCTAGTATGATCTTATTAATTTATAAAAGTTTATAAAATACTTTAATATTTTTTCTTCATATTCAATATCAAAATTTATTGTGATCAAACGTTGATTAAATTTGGTTAACTTTAGAGAGGATTAACACCTAATTTGGCGTGTATATACTACTTGATAATTATGTATATATAGGAGAATTTAGAGTGGTAGGTTTATCACTACACGATATGTGTATATAAATATTGTAACTCCAATCCAAATATTTGAATTTTTATCTGTAATTTAAATATCTGATGATGTAAAATTGTACAATACTTATATTAAATAATAGTATAAAAATCTGTATTGTTATTTTTAGTTGATTCAAAAAAAGATTAATTATTAACGTATCTCTATACACAAATTACAAATGATATTGATTTATGAAATTATGTACTATGCATTGTACTATTATTATTATTATTTGTTTTTTTGTAGAAATTGAACATTAATAAATATTTCAATTATTTATAAAACTTATT